CTCTTGAGCTCTACACTTTGGCTATTTGTCACCTTTTGTGTTCTTAGCCCTCTGTTGTATGAGAAAACTTCATTATTGAGAACTGAGAGATTCATTAGTGTCCTCTTCATTATCCCTGTTCTATGTTCCATGAGCCTTAGGTGTAAAGGTTGCACCAAAGATGTGTCACTTAAGCCTGGGCAATTCATAGACAATGTCTGTGTGTAACCAGTTGTGATACTTGGTAATAGTCTCTGACTGGTACAAAATGAGCTTCTTTGATAAGTGGTGACTGGGATATTTGTAAATATAAGGATACATATTTTGCACATAGTAAGAAATCACATTAGTCTAGTGATGTGACAGTCTTGGGGTTTTCTCTAAGATCTATGGCCACTCCAGCCATGTGTATTAGGTTATGTTTGAGTTTTAAGGAACATCCTGTTTGCAGACAGTTTTGAAGCCACCAAATTAACAAAAGGGCGGGCTGCTTCAGGACTTGACAAAACCACTGCAAAGAAATCACTGAAAAGCCAAATCTACCTCATCCAGTGGCCCAGAAATATCACAGGCCATCATGGCCTCTTCTTTCAGGAGCCGGACGGTTTATGTGGTTTTCTTAGGGATGGAGGCACCTGACTTTCCTGGAAAACCATCCCCACAGGCGTCCTGCCCTTTTATATTTTAGCCTTGAACTAAGATTGAAGGGATACCTTCAAAAGATGGCCACTGCGGCAAAGTTAGGGCAAGTGGGCAGTTGGCTGTTTGTCCTCCTCTAACTAGAGACCACTCAAGCAGGAAGCAGCCTATAAATGTCAGTCTGGGGATATCTGCATGAAAATGCTTCCTAACTACATTTTTAGTCATTCTGCTGTCCTCTTTGGGAAATTATTTCTATGGTAGACTGCTTTATGTTTTCAGGATATTTTTCCTTTCTCTCTCATCCCCACAGGAAGGATGTTTGTTTAGGCAGGTTGTTGCTATGTAGCCCAAACCCTACCTCTTCTAGAGTACTGAGATTATGAGTATGTACCACTATGCCCAGCTCACAGAAAGGATGTTTTTCCTAACTCCAAAACACAACCAATTTTTTCAAAAACCTATAAAACAAAGCAAATTTATACTAAACGTCCCTTCTCCCCCAACAAACACACCATCTAAGTCATTTCTCTAGTTTTTTTGACATGGTAGCCCAACAAACCCAACTATTAGCACAATCCCATGAGAGATATGAGTCTCCTTCACGGCACTGCTCCAGCTGGGAGCTGGCCTAGTCATTTCAGTCTATATCTAAACAGGATGATAACAATCCTGTTCTGAGCAACGTCAAAAGGTTTAAGTCATGGATGTAAGTATCCAAAGGCAAATTAGGGGCTGAAGAGATGGCTCAGTGGTTAAGAGCACTTACTATTCTTGCAGAGGATCTGAGTGAGTTCAGTTCACAGTACTCACACGGAGCAGCTCTCTTAACTGTCTATAACTCCCCTCCTGGGAATCTGTCACCTGGTCAGCCCTCCACAGATATCTGCACACATCACATACAAACACACACACACGCACACACACACACACACACACGAGAGAGAGAGAGAGAGAGAGAGAGAGAGAGAGAGAGAGAGAGATCTTAAAAAATATTTTTTTAAAGGCAAATCATTGGTTATACTTTCTTTTGGGGTTTTTAAGACCATACAGTTTTTCCAAATAAACCATTTTATTTTTACTCTTAAGGTCATTTGAGGATTTGTTCCTCAGGGGTTTCACATGGTCTTGGAAGGAGCCCCTGGGTCCTTTCTTTTACTAGTTCCATCTATATGAAGATAAGTCAAAGGTCCTGCTTGATCATGGCTGGCTTTACTTGGAAGGATGGAGGAAATATTTCCTCTGAGTTGACCATCCTCTTTGTAGACTGGACACTGATTCATCCATCTGGTGGGGGTCTCCATGGCCTCCCTGAACAAGAGGACAGGTGACTCACCACAGTTACAGGACATTTTAAGAGATGCTCCATAATCCCCTGGAACTTAGTTGACTTTGGAGGGCAAGGAGCAAAAAACTGTCTTTTAAGTCCCTCTGACCATATTAGTATAGGCCTCGAAGTATGGCTGTTAAACATCCAAGGTTAGTTCCACCAGTCTGGTACTTTTAGTTACAATGTGCTATGTAGATAAAGCTTGGGCAAAAACCAAGCATTCTCAGATAAAACTTTGACTAAATGTATATTTTGTTCTTTAAACTAGTTGACTAGTTTCTATGACCTTAGAAATTTTAAGATTATTTCTATATTATTTTTATCTCATCCTTTATATAGCATAATAAACCTACACAGAACTTCATCACTTGCTTAGGCTTTCTCATTTTTTCTATTTTGGAAAATATCTCCATTCCCATATCCTTTTAACATCTTTTATATTCTCATTTTCTTCTTTAATAATTATGAGACATAATGACATTAACAAATAAATTTTCCATCTGTTGTAAGAATTCTTTTCCTGGGGACACTAAGCAATGCTTATCTTCTTTTAAGGTCAAACCAATGTTTAATTAAAGTTTTCCTGGAAAACCAATGAATTTTCTGAGCTTACTTACAGAGATGACTGAGGGGTTGCTGAGGTATATGAGTGACTTGAGGGTATGCACACTGGAAAGCCTTTACCCAGCATGGATCGAGCTTCTCTTCCTAGCCTTCCCCAGATTATGTACTTCAGCCCTCCCCAAATCCAGGAGGCCCTGTGTGATTAGGGCCAAATTACATATAGTTGGCTGGGAAGAGAGACTGGATACTCTGGTGTGGGTCCAGTGACCCTGCTTGCTCCTCCTTTAATGAAGGAGCACAACTGTCAACAAGCCCAATTGTGATGATGTTTAGCAAGCAGGCACAGCTGAAGTCATGATGATGGTAGTTATTTCACATAGAAGAAACTTCTGTACAGCATCATCTTATTAAAAGAACATGGACTTTAAAAGGATTTGGTGCTAGGATCCACAAATGAGGGAGAACATACGTCTTTTATTTTTCTGAGTCTGTGTTACTTCACTAAGCCTAACAGTTTCTAGTTCCAATCATTTACCTGAAAATTTTATTGTTTCATTTTTCCTTAGTGCCGAGTACAACTCCATTGTGTAAATGTATCACATTTTCATTATCCATTATCAGTTGGGGGACAGGTTGCTTCCATCTCTTAGCTATTGTGAAAAGAGCAGCAACAAACATGGTTGTATACGTGTCTCTACAATAGGATGAGTCCTTTGGTCACATGCCAAGGAGGGGTATAACCAGGTCATATGGTAGGTTCATTTTTTGCTTTTTAAGAGTGCTCCATACTGTTTTCCATAGGGGTTGCACAAGTTTGTAATCCCACCAGGAGTGAATGAGCATTCCCCTTTCTCCACATCCTCGCCAACATTTGGTATCATTTGTTAAGTATAACCAAAGATTAAAGTGATCAGTATATTTCTTTAGGAGTTCAAGGGATTGCACTTTCCAGACATTAGGCTTAAGTCTATATAAAATGTTATTTAGACAATTATTTCTCATTAGTGATTTTGTTTCTCAGCAGAAAGTGCTGCTCAGATGTAAGACTTCAAATCTTGGTCTGCAATACTGTAGTGCCCACCTGTAGCTAGGGGAGACAACCCAATATTGTTCTAAAATGATGGATAAATTTTTTTCTCCCCCTATCTAGAAGCCTTTGAGAGGGAGCTGACACTGATTCTAGCCACTCCAACAGCTATTAAAATGCCTGAAAACAAATCCTGAGTCCGTCACTCTCGAGTCCAGCCTTGGCAGACAAAAGAAAAATGAAGAGGAGCCCAATAGAGGGATGCTTTTGGAAGCTCTGGTCAAGAAATTCCAATGGACTCTCATATGAACATTTGAAATTTGGCCAGTTCTGACTTTTTTCTGGTTCCCTGTCTAGAATTTGTAATGGTAACTACTCTTGCCTTTACTTCTTCACATCGCCTATTCACCAGCCAAGGACTTTCTTTTCTCCCTACAGATAAGAGTTATGCAATTTGGGAGTCTTTTAGATAGACCCCTGAAGCGGTCCCTAGTTGCCTCACCCTGCATCCCTGTTCAGCATGGAAGAAGCCAGAGTGGTCTGTGTCCCAATTCCCTATCTACAATTTTGATAACTTCTTCAGAGGATGGTGTGATAAGAGTAAGAGGTAGGAATTGGGGTAAAGCAATTAGGGTAAAAAGGGCCCCAAAGAAAAGCAGCCAATTTATTGGCTAAAAGTCAAAATGTTTTTGGACCTGTTAGTAACATACTATGTTCCAAAGGCCAAAAATGTCAAAAGTATTTGGGATCTTTTATCTAATCCTTAAAGATTTTAGGGTTACCTCTTCAGAGGGGAGAATGTTAGAGTAGCAAAAGGCCCCATTTAAAAAAAAAAAAAAAGATTACATGAAGTTGTCAGAAAAAAAGTGATGGGGAGATATGGGAGGAGTTGGAGTGGGGCGGGGGGGAAGTGGGCGAGGATTTGATCAAAATACCTTTGCATGTATGAAATTCTCAATAATTTTTTTAAGTTAAAAAAAAGTTGATGTGCCCTCGGGCATGGATTTGATCAAAACACCTTATATGCATGTGTGAAATTCTCAATAAAATTTTTTAAGTTTAAAAAAAAGGCAAATCATGTCAAGCAAAGAGAACAAAATGGAAGTCAAGGCCAGGGGAAATAGTGTGAGTGTGAACTGTTAGGGAAGATCATTTCCCTTCCACCTTGGCAATATGGAAACTCAGAGGGTGGTATGTAAGCAGCCTTTGCATCCCAAATTAACAGCTCCCAAAGACCACTTGGCAAAATGTCCAAGAATAGGCTTGCTGGAGCTAGCAAGAGAGCTCAGAGAAATTGAAAATAGGAACCACACAAGGCACAATCACAGCTCGGTGGAAGCTATAAATAAATGGCAGGCCTGTGTGCTTGTCATCAGCCTCATTCACTGGAAAAACAAATGAATGTATTAAAGAAAGCCCTCTGTTGTTCCCAGATCTGATCACGATGTGCACAATTAATTAAGCCTGGCAGCTGTGTCCTCAGAGGCAATTCCACATGGTGTAAACCAGTTCTGACTCAAGTCCTGTCCTGGGCTGCAGCCTGTCACAGGTAATATTTACATAAATACTCAGTCTGCTTACAACTGACTTCACATATTTCTACATTTCCAGTCAATTCCTTCTGCTCTTTTCAATGTTCCTGGATGATGTGGCTAGTGATGGTAGGAGAACAAGGAGATGGGAATAATTAGTCATCAGGCAGGTAGGCAGCTGGGGCTGAGACAGCGATGGCCACTGACAGGAGAGCCCTTGGCAAACAATGAAGGACACACTAGTTTATGTGAGCAGCTGAACCAGAAGACAGAGAAGATTATTGACTTCAGATAACCTGAATGTAGAAAAATAAAAAGCAGTTTCCAAAAGTGATATATCTGAGTTCCCAGCCCCATCCGTGTGGCGAGGCTGGGGAGGCCACTATGGAAGAGAATATAAAGGAAACAGGGTGTCCTGGTTGGCTTCCATTGTCAACCTGACACACCTGGAAAGTGGGAACCTCAACTGAGGAATTTTCTCTATCAGACTGACCTGTGGGCATGTCTGTGAGACATTTTTTTAAACATTGAATGGTGTGGGAGGGCCCAGTGGTACCCACTGTGAGTGGTACCACTTCTAGGCAGATGGTCCTGGGTTGTATAAGAAAGCAGGTTGAACACGGGCCAGGGAAGCAAGCCAGTAAGCAGAGTTCCTCCATGCCCTGTGCTTCAGCTCCTGCCTCCAGGTTCTTGTTCTGCTTCAGTTTCTGTCTTGGTTTCCCTCAATGATGAACTGGGCCTGGGATGTGTAAGCCAAATAAATCCTGAACTCCCGGAGTTGGTTTTAGTCAGTGTTTCATCACAGCAATAGAAAGCTAACTAGAACAGAAGGTTTTAAGATTTATCTAAAATTGGACCAGCATGGTATCACATGCCCATAATTCTAGCACAAGGGAGGCTAAAGCAGGAAGACTATACGTTAAAGGCCATCCTGGGCTACAGAGTAAGACTCTGTCTAAACAAAACAAAACAAAGCAAAGCAACACAACACAAAACAAAGCAAAACAAAAAGTCAGTGAGGAAGACACTTCTTCCCAAAGGTGGCAGGGTTACCTAAAGGAGTACCTAAGTTCTGAGCAAGGGGAGGGCTTAAACTGTTAGGTGAGATCCCTTTTGGGGAGTCGGTGATGAAATTAAACTAAACTGAAGTTGAATCCTAGTGGATGCAATTTTCCAAAGACAAGAGAGTATCAGTAGTTGAGAGACAGAGGACCTCATTCTTCTTTGCAGTTCTCAAAAATTATTAAGTCCTTTAACAAAAAGTCTTGTCTTTTTGTTGTGAGCCTGAGCCTTTAACAGCTAAGTCATCTCTCCAGCCCACAAATTCTTTCTTACACATTACTTTGTTATGGAGTGTTCTCTTGAACAGGAGCTTTCTGTACTGAATTATTCCCTGAACACTGAAACACCAATCCCTCATCTACACATGAACCTTCACAATATGATTTCTACCCTATTTCCCCTTCCCTTGAATCTGGACTAATCCTCTGTTTTCTTCTGATTGACAGCATACAATGGAACTTTCAGTGTGCGGTCTAAGACCAGGCCTCACACATGCTCACAGTTTCTACTGATACCTTCTTAGGATAACATCTTTAGAACAAAAGGCTGCATGGACAGAGAGGCCAAGTCAGCCATTCCAGCAGAACTCAGTCATGAGCCAATCCAGCAGCTGAATGTGGCTGTGCGAATGAACCTGGTAAGGTACCCGAAGCTCCATCAGCCCAGCAATACACACTTACCAGCCACTGAAATTCTTATCTTAAGCAGGTAATATTTTTTGAGACAGTGTCTTACTATGTAGCCCTGACCTTGAACTACCTATAGAGACCAGGCTGGCCTTGAATTCATAGAGACTCACCTGCCTCTACCTCCTTCCCAAGTGCTGAGATTAAAGGAGTACACCACCACGCCCAGTTTAAGAACTAATTTTTACTGTGATTTTTTGTTGTTGTTATTGTAAAAAGAAAAAAAAAAGACAGCTGTGCTGGAAACATGACTCATAGTTAAGAGCACTGGTTGCTCTTGCAGAGAACCCAGGTTCAGTTCCCAGCAGCCACATGGCAGCTACCAACCGTCTGTAACTCCAGTTCCAGGGGATCTGACACCCTCTTCTGATCCCATGGAGACCATTGCACACATGGGGTGCACTTAAATACATTCAGGCAAAATGCTCATGCACATAAATTTTAAAAAGATAGCTGACTGATACACATTATAAAGAACTAACCCCACCCTTAAAATGCATAGATATAACCAATGTGCATCTATGCAAAGCAAATGAATTAAAAAAAAAAAACAGAAAAGAGGAATCGCAGCATTTCTCCTGATGAATTTAGTGAAGTGTACTCACCTCAAGAAATAGCAGAAGAAAATGCTAACATAATACTAAAAACTGAATATTCTCTGGAACTGGAGGTATGGGTTGATGAGAACACTCACAAACAGAAATGCCCCCCACAAAGGGAGAAATGAAATGAAACTTGATTAAAAAGAAATAAGGTATAGCAAAAGGCAAAATCATACCAGAAATGAAAACCATTTAGTACTGAGTACCAAAAGGAAAACAGACTCAAATTAAAACTTATAAGGAGCACTAAGTAAAAGTAGGGAAACATGAATTAAGAAAAATTAGAAAATGTTGGAACAGAAGACAAAAAAAGAAAAAGAAAATCAAACAATATATTTAGGATGACAAGGAAAGCCGTCTGTGGCAGTTCCCTTTGGTATAGACTCACAACACAGAGAATGTTCATGAAGTAACAGAAAACCTGAGTACACACGTAGAAATCAACATAGCCTAGGAAAGCTTTTAGACTTATTTTATTTTAAAAAAATATTTTATTCATTATTTTTATTTTATGTGTAGGAGTATATTGCCTGCATGCAAGTAGGTGCACCCATGTCATGCAGTGCTCACGGAGATAAGAGGGCACCAGAGTCCCTGGAACTGGAGTTAGCCTCCATGTGGGTGCTGAGAATCAAACCTGGATCCTCTGAAAGAGCAGCCAGTGCTTTTAACCGCTGAGCTGTCTCTCCAGCCCTGATTTTAGATTTCTTAGATAGAAAATTAAAATTTAATCTAATTAAAATGATTAGAAACAGGAGAAAATATTCACTTGCCTAGAATGTACCAGGCCCAGGTTCAAGTTCTAGCAATCACAATGTAATAAACTATTAATTGATGGTATAATTGAGACCTGTGGTATCTCCCAAAGGCCTATGCATTGACAGTTTGATCACCAGCCTATCACACTACTGGGGGTGGTAGAACCTTAGGTTAGGAGGGGGTCTAAAGAAAGGAGGCAGGTCACTGGAGATGTGTACTTGTGGGGAATATTGAGATCTCAGCTCCTTCCTCATGCTCATTGCTTCCCAGACACCATGAGGTGAGCAGCTCTGCTCTACCACTCATACCTTGATGGTGCCCTCACCACAGATCCAAAAGCAACAAGTCAAGTGACCACAAACTATGAAACACAAGCCAACATAAACCTTCCCTCCTTTGACACCGTTTAGCTCAGGTATTATCACAACAATATAAAGCTAGCTAACAATAAACTATCATTTGGAGAAATGCTGCGATTTCATTCTAACACTGTGGCTCCAAAAGCTAAAATACACAAGCAAAAACTATCAAACCAGATCATCAAGCACACTGCCCAGTTCATCAATTATAAGATGAGCCATTATCAGAGGGGATGATGGTCTGTGGGTCTTAGGTATAGAAAATTATGGATTTAATAGAATCAGGAATCAGAAAAAAAAAAGATTAAGTATAGGAAGACTTTATCATGAAAAACCAAAACTCGACCTAAGCCTAAAGTCTAGGAAGTTCTGAATTTGTTTAGTGACTAGCAGAATTCCACATTATGCTGAGAAGTCAACAAGTCTATAAAAGGGTCTTGGCATTATTTTAACCTAATTGCAAATCTAGCTGGCAGCTTAATTGTAATATCCAATGGAAGTGGACATTGTTGATTCTACATTGTTTTCTTTCTGTTATACATTGAAGACACAGCTTATGACTGAATGTGAACTGCTCTGGCCTCATCACCAAGAGGAAAAATCCCAAGTCAAACCACCATAAACTGGAAACCACTTGTAGTTTCCAATAGGAATTTTCATCTGCTTGCTTTAAAAGCAGATTTTCACTGTATAGAAGAACAAAGAGTCGAAATAAATATATAAATAAATAACTCAAAACAAAAAACAAAGTGGAGAACTTAACTTTTCAGATTCATTATAATGCTGTAGAAATTAAGTTAGTTTGGGACAGACACTGTAAGAGAGAAATTGATGAACGGAGCAGAGAACAGATGTAGACACACAGGAAACTTCATCTATAAAACTGGTCGCATTTCAAGTGTGAAGAGCAGATGATGCAGTAAACAGTGCTGAGCTTCCATATGAAATTAGATTTCCCATGTCAAGCACAAGAATCTGTTTCAATTGGAAACAGATACATGAGACTAAAATAGTACAATACATGAAAATGCCCTTATACCTTCTAAGTCATAAAAATTAATATATTTTAAAAAATAGACCATAGGGAAAAAATGAATAATTCCAATGTCATTAAAGCTAAGAATTTCTGACCATCAAAAGACATCCTAGATGGAAAAAGCAAGCCACAAACTAGGACTAAATATTTATAATATAACCAGCCAAGGATGAACAGCTGGAATACTTAAGTAGAGGGGAAAAAAAGCATGGTTTTTAAAATGTGCAAAAAACAGACTGGGTATGGTGGCGCACACCTTTAATCCCAGCACTTGAGAGGCAGAGGCAGGTGGATCTCTGTGAGTTCAAGGCCAGCCTGATCTACATAGTGAATTCCAGGACATCTGAGGCTACAGGGAGACCCTGTCTCAAAAAGACCAAAAGAAAAAAAGAAAAACAAAAAACAAAAAAACAGACTGGAGAGATAGCTCAGAGTTTATGAGCACCGGCTGCTCTTGAAGAGGACACAGGTTCGATTCCCAGTACCCACATGACATTAACAACGGTCCTTAACTCCAGTTCCAGGGGGAATCTGATGCCCTTTTCTGACCTCCACAGGCATTGCACTGCTCAGGTGCATTTACGTACACAAATACACTCATATACATAAAATAAAAATATAAATAAAATATTTTAAAAATAAAATGTGCAAAAAGACAACATAGGCATTTAACAGAAAAGAGAACATGAATGAATGAAACATATGAAAATAACCTCAAACTTATCAGTCATTTAGTAACTGCAAATTCAAACTACCCAACAGCACTGAAAGCCAGCTGGACTAGCACCAGGCAGGGTTTTCCTGCTGTAGGTGCTGGCCAGGACGTCTAGCAGGAGCTTACAACATTGCCAGGGTAACCTCCGCTGCAAACAATGTGCACCTCTGCATACCCAGATACTTCAGGTCTTCCAACCATCAGCCACAACTGGAAATGTATTTTATATTTCAATCCAGGATATCCACATGCTTCTAAGTAAAATTTGTTTAACAAAGCTGCACTTGCTATGATGATGGATGCTGGCATTTTCTGGTATTTCATGTCAAAGCCTTCATTTCTTTTATACCAATCCTGTATAAGTTTATACAGTTCCCACTGAAGGAATTCCTTACCCTGGTGCTTCACCAGTGGGTTTTTCTGGGGTGGAGCACGCTGGTTATTTTTGAATCTGGGCATCTCTCTCTTTTGACTTCCACTTTCCACCCATGTTTTGTTTTGTTTTGGTTTTGGTTTTGGTTTTTCACGTTTCAGGAACCTGCCTCAGCTCCTAGCAGAGCATAAGACTCCCAGAACACACAGTCATCCTCGTGGCAAGAAGCTGTTGGCGCCAACAACCTCAGCACCACGTCTGACATGCTAAATTCCGGTTTTGCCGTGGTAAGGTTTGTGAAGTTTTCAGGAGAGCAGTACTTACCCCCTCCACGGTCCCAGTATCCTGCTTGTGGTTCTCACTGTGCAAAGAAACAGCTCGCTGTCTGCACATCGGCCTGGAACTGAATAGCATCTTTCCCTTTGTCTCTTTTCAGCATTCTAATGATTACGGAAAGATGCCCAGTCTTGTTGAACCGGGGGCCCTCCCACGCTCCCCAACCTTCTCTCCTGAAATGATGCTGGGGCCTTCTACCAAGAAAATCTCTTTCATGATGTCTCAGGAAACACATGAAGGACTGTTCATGACAACCATTTGTTCACAATAGACGGAAAGCAACACAGAATCAACAAAGTGTACACTTTCAGGAGTAGGGTTAATTAAATATTCACATGTGGCATGATTACATGCTAGTGAAAATTCATGAGCTCTGCATAGGTACAATATTGGGTAAGAACAGAAAATATAATGTTGGGTAAGTATAAGCAATTTGTAAAAGGACAAACTATACCCTCTTATAACAAAAACAATTTAAAAAATGAAAATTTTAGGGAAATGTGCATAAAATTATGTAATACAGTTATTTTAAGACATAGAAGAAAATGATAAACCAAATTTTAAGATACTAATTCTGTGGGAAGCCAAGGACATGGGGTTGAGTAAGAAGACATAGGTAGCTTTAACAGTATTTATCTTGGGGCTGGAGAGATGGTTCAGTGGTTAAGAGCACTGGCTGCTCTTGCAGAGCACCTGGGTTCGGTTCCCAGCATCCACATGCAGCTAACAATTGTCTGTAACTCCAGTTCCAGGAGATCTAACACCATCTTCTGGCCTCTATGGACACTACACCTGTAATTCCAGCTCCAAGGTATCCAATGCCTTTGCCTGGCCTCTGCAAGCACCCACACCACTCACCCCCCCCCACACACACACAATTTTAAAAATTAGGGGCTGACAGCCTGAGAGGGTAGGTTCAGACCTTCATTGGGGTTGCTGCTCGAGGCTCAGCAGACTGCCAGAGAGGGTGGGGTTCTGGCCTCCCTCTGGCCTCCAACTACCAGAGGGCCTGAGAACCCAGAGGACAGCCTGACAGCTTTGGTAGGCTGAGGCTGGGATCTCAGCAGACCACCAAAGAGTGCCGAGTTCTGGCCCCCGTCTGGCCTCCCTCTGCCATAGGGTTGACAATGCACAGGACTGCCTGAAAGACCCTGGATCCTGCCTCCACTGGTGAAGGCAGCCTGAGTGTACCTGACTGGAACCTGAATTGGGCTTCTGTGGGTACTCCTGAATAGTGATCTGAAGCCATCAGTTCCCTCATATGTATAAGAACTTAATAATTTTTTTAAAATGTTATGTGTGTGAATGTATTGCCTGCATGTATGTGAGTGCACCCTTGTCATGCAATGCCTGTGGAAGTCAGAAGAAGGCATCAGATCCCCTGGAGTAGGAATTCAGACAGTTGTTAGCTGCCATGTGGGTGCTCTACAAGAGCAACCAGTACCCTTAACCACTGAGCCATCTCTACAGCCCCTTCAGAGCTTAATAAAATTCTATTTCCATTTGCTATCATTTCCCTTCAGCTTGAAGGAATTTCAAGCTTCTTAACTGAAATGGCCTGGAGACCTATTAGCTTTCTTTTATCTGAAAATGTTCTTACTTCACTTGCATCTCTGAAACACATTTTTGATGAATACAGAATTCTGGATTGATAGTTTTGGGTTCATGTGGTTTGAGTAGTTTAAGATGCTCCACTGTTTACTGTGGTTTCTGATGACAAACCACAATTCAGATTGTTTTCCCAGGTATGCCACTTGTCATTTTACATAGTAGCTGCTTCATTTTACTTTTTGCTTTAGAGATAGGGCCTCCTGTAGCCCAAGCTAGCCTCAAACTCACTATTTGAGGATAGCCTTGGTTTCCTGGTCTACTGCCTCTATTTCCCTGGCTTTCTTTTCTTTTCTTTGGTTTATTTATTTTTATTTTATGTGCTTGAATGTTTTGTCTGCATATATGTACGTGTACCACATGCATACAATGCCCATGGAGGCCAGAAGAGGGTGTTGTATCCCCTGGAACTGGAGTTACAGTTGTTAGCTGCCATGTGGGTCCTGGAACTCAAACCCCGGTCCTCTACAAGGGCAGTCAGTGCTCTTAATCACTGAGCCATCTCTCCAGCTCCCTACCCCCAGCTTTCTAAAACAAAAATAATCTTATCTTAGATTCTATGTAGTTTGATGATAATGTATCTAGAACAGGGTCTTTGAATTTATTGGACTTGAGTAAGGTTATCATTTTAAATCTATAAATATATGACCTTCCACCAAATTTACTAAGTTTCTGGCCATTCTTTGTTCAAAGATTATCTCTGGCTCAATTATTTATCTCCACTCTGAGATTCTTTAAAAAAAATTATTTCTTGCAGGGGAGGGGGTGCAGTGCACATGTGAAGATGAGAAAACAACTTGCACCTGTGGGTCCCAAGGACCAAACTCGGATCATCGGGTGTGGTGGCAAGCACCTTTACCTGTTGAGCCATTTGGCTGGTCCCCTCTGAGATTCTTATTACACGTTGGGTTTTTTTATAGGCTACCATAGATCCCTAAGTGTGTGTATGCATATTTTTCCCATCTCATTCACTTCTCTATAGCTTTCCTTTCTGCATTTGGGTTTCTGGTCTCATGGGTTCCCTTTGGCTTTGTGGGCATCTCAGCTAGCTCTTCCCCGAGGATGTGTCAAATTTGCTTGGTTCTCTGTAGGTCATGTAATTCCGTCCTATGTCCTGAACACTATCAGCATTACACCACATACATAAGGCTCTGTCTGAACTTCTTGGATAGTAGGGATGCTTTTCGTCAGCCTAGCCATTGCCCTGGTCAAATTTAGACCATAAGCTCTGCTTTGCCTTCAGCAGTCACATCTCAGGTCCTTTGTGTCTGCTACCTGGCTTGGATCTACCCCTTATATGCAGGGTTTGGGACCATACACAGAATTACAAATCTCCCTTCTCTGACTTTCCCTCCTCTGGTCTCCACCCCTACCCAGCACACACACTCCAGCTCACAGGGCTCACCCAGCCAAACTCAGAAACTACTACTGGAGTTTTAGCCACCTGAATTGCACCATCAGCAAAGGAATTGTCCCTAGCAGTGTGTGTGTGTCGGGGGGGGTGTATTAAAAAACAAAACATTTCTCCAATTTAAAAAAAGGACTAGGAGACAAGTCATTGTGGAGTTCTCTAAGCTATGAGTCCTTCCTTAATCTACTTCCTGTTGTGTACTTTTCGAAATCTTCGTTTTCTGTGCTTTATCCACACTTTCTATTTGTAATCAGTAGAATGGGCTATATGCAGACAGACCATAATAGTCACCATGGGACTTCCCCAGCCTCCCATCACCCCACTCCAGTCAGGCTCTCCTCCTCCCCACTCGCCCAACCACACTGTGCAAGGTGGACAGGAATGTGCCTGCCTCTCCTGTCTGACTGGGCATCCTATGTCTGCTTGCAGCTCCCTGTCACAACCCTAGCTCTTCATATTGGAAAGTCCCAGGCCTTGCCCCTTTCCTGAGCTACTCCATTGTGGATCATCCAGCCTGGTGAGACTCCCAGTTATATGAACATGTAGGCTTCTCTTCTGGACTGTGACTCCTAACAGCCCACTCACATGCCTAAGGCTACCCCAGGCTTAAAATGTTGCCCACATCCTTCATTCTGCAGTCTTCTGCCTTCCAGCTCCTCCTTTAGTCCCCCCTTTTCCAATTAGTTCCACCTCCATGTCTCAAAACACTCAGATCAGAACCCTAAAGCTACCTTAGACTCCTCCTGTTCTTACCCTACATCCACCTGCCAGAGTCCTGTCAACTCCGTCTTCAAACATCCAGAGTCTATTTATCATTTCCTCTGCCCCAGCTTGCTACAAGTCGCCCTGGACTGTGAGAAGTTTGTCAGTTCTGCTATAGGCCATGATTTATGATTGTGTTTGGCTTTAGTATAATTTATTATGGATTTTATGGATTGAAGCTGTTAGCAACCATGTACTGAGCAGGTATGCCATTTTTCCAACAGCACGTGCTCACTTCAAGTGTCTGTATCACATTTTGGCAGTTCTCACAATATTTAAAAATTCTTCAGTATTGTCTTGCTATAGTGATCTAAATCTTTCGTGTAACTGCTGAAATTGTTTAGGGGAGCCACAAATCTTTCCAGTATAAAGTGGTGAAGTTAATCAAAATGTATGTTCAGCCTGCTTCACTGACCTCTTTCAGCATCACTGTCCCCTAAAGCACAAATATAGAGATTTGGCTGGTTAGTAACCACACAGTGATCTCTAAGTGTTCAAGTGAAGAAAGAGTCTCATGTCTCTAACTTTAAATCAAGCAGTAGATAATGGTTAAGCTTAGGGAGAGAGGCATGTCAGAAGCCAAGAATAGCCTAGAATTTAACTCTTGAGCCAAACAGCCAAGTCTCCATAGTGAGTTTCAAGCCAGCAGGGGCTACAGGCAGACCCTATCTCAATAATAATAATAATAATAATAATAATAATAATAATAAAGAGCTGGAGAGGGCTTAAGAGCACTTCCTACTCTGCCAGCAATGACATTGGATGGCTCACAACCGCCTGTAACTCCTGCTCCAGAGGATCTGATGTCCTCTTCTGGCCTCCACTCACGTGCACACACCACTCACATACACATAAATAAAAATTAAATAAAGGTGGGGAGAGCTGAGGAAGCTGCAGAAGGTGAATTGAAGTTAACACTGAGGCTGTTTTGTGGTGTTTCAGGAAAATTGCTGTCTTCATGAATGCAAAGTGCAAGGTGAAGCAATGCTACCAACTGAATAAGAATGTTCCCTCATAGGTGTTTAATGTTTGTCCCCAGCTGGTAGTGGTATTTTTGGAGGTTGTAGAAACTTTAGGGGGCGAAGCCTAGCTGGAGGAAGGGTTGGGTTCTTGGGTATTGTCCCCAGGTGCTCTGACTTGTTCTGCTTCCTGCCAGCCATGAAATGAGTAGCTCTCCTCCATCACACCCTCACACTGACAGGATGGGATGTCCTGCTTAAGAGCATAAGGCCAAATGATCATGGACTGAGCCCTCTGAAGCTGTGAACCAAATAAAATCCTTCCTAGAGTTGTTTTTCTGTCAGGGATTTTTTTTCATGGCAATGAAGAATACAATACAAACAGAATTGCTGAGGTAGAAGCTGCAGCAAGTTACCCAGCTCTTGAT